TATCAAACCAATAATCCTTTTAGGTATAGGCATTTTTTTTCTAAACGTATGAAATATTTCACATTTTATTTGAGCTCCTTCAACATTCCCTCCGTTAGAACTGGCAACGCATTAAATGCGGTGCAATAAGTGTGTGGTGGTTCTCGCCTTAAATCCGTGAATCAAGTATCAGGTCGATGAAACCGTCTGAACAACCTTGGCGTTCCTAAACTGTTTTTTTTCTTTTGACATGGAGGAGAAATGGTTCATACCCAAAATAGATTGTGCAACAATGCGTTGAGATCAGTTTAACACGTAGGCTTTCGCGACAATTATGAAGATGGTTCCAAAACGAATGAAAGAAATATGTGGTACATTACAAGCTGGAATTTATTGACGCATCCATTCATTGATAACAGGGAACTCTTAGGATCAAGATACACGGCATCAAATCCCACAGGCCCGGATCTATTCGTCGCGATTTTGGCAAATTATGTGCAAACGTCGTTTTTGGAAGAAGGAAGGAAAAAAGCCCCCCCACGAAAATAAGAAATGCAATTGTACTCCATGCTGTTATGCCATTTTAAATGTAATATGTGAATTCATCTCACTCTTGTCATGCGTAATGCTATTTTGTATCGCTCACTAGATTTCCATTGTACATACTTACGCCTGTTTATTGGTCATAAATCGAAAATGTTCCCCTGATTTTTGTTCCATGCAGCCCCTGTAAACCCTCCCTTCTCCCGCGTAACCTGCCCACTACCGTGGCATCAGCCGCTCTCGACGGGTGGACACTGAAAAAAGAGGCTTCCGAGCTGAATGGGCCTCAACAGAAATAAACCGATTGATATGACAATCTTGGCTCATGTTACGTTCAGGAAAATGGGACAAAAAAACAATTATTTAATCAAATCACCAATCTGACCGGTGACAGTTCATCGAATCACAGGGAGGGGACACGGGGGGGGGGGCAGTGGTGGTGGATGTGAATCGTTACACACCTACCGAATGAGCTACTTGCATTCGCAGATTTAATCACAGATAATCAAGGAGATTCATTTATGATGGGAGGGACGCCTGGCGTGCAGGGGTGGAGGAGGAGGAAGGACGATGATGGAGACGGGCAGTCGAGTGGCACCCAGAGGTCGGAGACCACGGGGAAGAGAAGACCCGGAACCAGACGGTGGCGGTGATCGAGAGCCCAGAGACCCCATCGCTGGTGATCGCGCGTCGAACTCACGGCGGTCGCACAGCGCGACACGCGCAACTAAGAGGTGGGGGGGGGCAAGCGATGGCGAGGATAAGCCGCATCGACATGGTTGGTCACAACGACCTCTCGACCTCGGGATCATCATCAGCCCTGCGGCGATCGCTCTCGGCGCTCGCTGGCGGCATCTCATCGAGCGAGGTTGAAGCGCCGCGCACGGCGCTGCGCACGGCGCTGCGCACGCGGAGAGAGAACAGGGACGCACTCGGAGAGGAGAGGCGAAAAATAAATATCACAGGGGTTGGCAGGTTGAGCAAAATAAGGCAAAGTCAAACAATATAAAATATAACGGAGAGGATAAAGATGGAGCCATCTGGGGAAATTATAGCTTTATAAATCAAAAAGGAGAAAGGTTAGCCTGTTTTATTTTTATTTTTGGGGGGAGGTGGTGGTTTGGACCGGGTTGGTGCGGCGGGGGAAATGACAGGAAGAAAAAAAAAAAACTTGCCGTTATCGTTGAGATTTTGCGAACAAAATCTAAACGATAACGTCCTGTCATCTCACAGCGTTTTGGTACGGTAATTGTAAAAACTGCAATCGGCACCGTCCTTCCCAGGGACCGCCCGTCCCTGCGCGTCCATTTAATGCGGCGAAACAGGCGCACGGCCATCCGCCGGAGAGGTGTGAACGATCACAGCCAGAGGAGTGTGACGACCCCTACTCACCCCCCGCACTCGCAACGCGCGCAGTCGCGTGCTGTCACGGGCCGTCGCAACAAACGCACGCATGGAACAGTCAGACGAACGGACGGACGGGCAGGGGAGACAGAGGAGCGAGTGCACGAGCTGAGACGCGGAACAGAGGCAGAGCGAGCGAGACGCAGGGATTCTGCTACTGCTGCCGCCCCTCCAAGTGTGCGTGCCGCTGATTAGAGCCGCCTGCTGCTGCTAAAAGCGAGCACCCATATTATAGCGAGGGCACACAGGGAGAGCCAGAAGCACAGCGCCCGTTTGCCAATAATCACATCCGTGCGTGTCGTTAGAAAGGCAGCTCAGCCCGCCTCTGGCGAGACGCAATCTGACAAAATCGCGGCGGAGAGAGAGAGGTGAAAACGCAGACTCCGGGGCTTTTTTTTTACTTGCACACGGCCGGTAACGCGCCACGAAAACACATTTGCGCGCGTTCCGCGCGTTTCATCTCCATTCTTTCCTTTTTAAAGACAGCAAATAGGCTGCTCCAAGTGTCCTTTCATACGGTGCGACAGGCGTTTTGGACATATCGGTGGCAGCTTTAAATTTTTAATACATCACCTGGTTCCCCCTTTTATTCGCGGGCGAACCCGCGCGAAGCGAGACTATCAACGCTCGCATGGAAACGCCGCGCGCGGCCGCTTATCGTCCTGCCTTGTTTGGGAGGATGAGGACGACGAGGAGGCGACAGTTGTAGGCTGCTTGCGTGAGCAGCAAACCGCATTTCCTTGCCCGTTATTCGCTACTTTTCTATTTCTCGATTTCCCCACCACTCAAGTCTTGTTTACTGCACGCCGGCGCGAATGCATCAGGGTTATCCCAAGGTATGGCTGCAATAGCACGAGCATGAATAATTCCTGCAAATGTTTACTGGCAGGACGGAATGCACTCCGTCGTGACCAATGATGAAGGATTTACAATGCCCATTGGAACGAGTGCGCGCACACACATGCGCACATGTTCTCGAAAAAAGTGATTTTGTCACCAGCCTCTACAGAGTGCCGTCTTGGCAAGAACCCGTAAAGCGCACGCCGCCAAATTTAAATGGCAAGCACGGCATCTTCCACCCCCGCCCCCCCCATACTTATTGTGAACAGGCAAACAGGTTTTAATATTTTTTTGTATTTTTCTCGCGTCCCATTCTCTCGGCAGGCACCCGCGCGCCGTGCAGGCGTAAGTCAGCTGGCCTCTTTGTCCTCAGGGCCGGGGGGGGGGAGGAGCCAGGGGGGGGGGGAGGCGATGGTGGGGGAGAACCTCTGCGGGGACGGATTCGAATAAGTCGCGCGAACACGACATATGGACGCGCTCTCCTCGCTTCGTGGCGCTTATTGTGCCATCTCTGATTAATGCGGAAAATCCTCCGGCGTTCGTTACAAAGTTATAGAGCCGGGGGTCCCGCGTGGATTGGCACTGGTGTGTCGGGGGGGAGGTCGCGAGCGACACGGTTTGGCGCGGTGAAGGCGGCAGAGGGGGTGGCGTTTTCCAAATTTTGCGAGAGAGTGCCACGGGGAAAAATCAAATGAAGGGTTTGGGCGTTATTTAAATAAAAAAAGGCAAATTACGAGAGCAAAGGTACAGCCCTGCAATTTCCTGACCGCGCCGCCGCTCCTGGCAGAAGAACCGCAACTAGGGGGAGCACTGGAGGGCATTTTGGCCAAGTCTGTCACAAGGCGGGAAACACCCACACTTTACCCCACCAGAAGCGACCAGCCGATCGACTGACTGTGGTGTGCCCATTGAAACTGCCGGGTGGACAGAGGCAGAGCCATTTAAGAAACCCCATGACATTGTTTCCACTGCCAGGCCGGGGACATCAAACCTCAATCCAGTGTGCCTGGTCCAAATTACAAGCCTTTACTGCTATACGATAAATTATGACTTATCTTTCTGTAAACTAAAGAATCTGTAAATCTACAGAGAGAGTGATTTCAAGCGTGTGCTGGTTTCATTGTTGGCTGCTCCTTGCCATGTGTTACTTCAAATTTGTTGTTTGCACAGGAAAACTATTTTATATTTTTGCAATATTTAATAGAATCTTATTCCTCACTCAAGATGCACTATTTTACAATATATTTCTCTCATCTTGATGTTTACTGTCGTTAAATATTTTGTATATAATAAAGTGATGTATTGTAAAAAAGGTTAATTGGTTGACTTTTTTCATTGCTGTATTTATTGTATTCATAATTTTTACATGACCTGTTGCAAGCGGTGTGTTTTTAATTTGACAGGTTTTTTTTGTTTTGTTGATGAACCCCGATTCAAGAGCTTCTTATCTCACAGGGCGATTCTAAATCAACTGTATAGTAAACTGTATAAAACTCATCGCGGGCCTCTGACCGCATAAGCGCAGACTCCTCACGGAAGCAACAAAAACAGATGTACGTATGTTGAACTTCTTTCACACCGTACGTAGCCACCTGTGCTAATCGTGGCGGTGGGGGGGAAGGACAACAAACTAATCACAAAAAAGCAGTTCTAAAGAAATACATTTTCAATCTAGATGATTTTAAGGTGCATAGCTCCGGTGGCTTCCACATATCGGAAGGAAGAGCGTTCCAGACGGCCGCAGAAGCGCATCTGAAAGCGCCGCGCGGTGATGCGGTCACCACCGTCTTTGTTCCATGGCTAGCCAAAAGCAGCCGCTGCGAGGATGACCGGAGTATCGCGTGATGGTGGTTTACGTTCCTTGACGAGATCGGCGAGGAAAAAAACAGATGACGCATTCTGTGTCTTCACTGCCGCTGTCCTCCGTAGGTGAACGATAAAATACATCGTTCTGGCCGAATTCAGCCACAGTCCGTATGATCCATACCTAAACTGTGTGACCCCTACCCACCCCATCACAATGCCTAATTGTGAGCTGACGACACGTTCATGAGTGTTCGTGCAAGTGTGTGCACACCGCCCTCAATGTTACATTTTCAAACGCAAGACAACGAATAAAACAAGACAAATCCGTGCGAATGCAGGCATAATTATGTATCGTCGAGGTGTGTGTGTTTTTGGATTATTTGACAGAATTCACGCGGGGGGCATGGGGGGAGGGTGGGGGACGTCACCTTATTCTGTAGGTGAAGAAGTAGTGAGGAGGATTCACCGAACTGAATTCTGGGAGGAAGGAGGTTACCACGGAGACGGTGATGTCACCGGTGTGTGCGACACAGTCCTTGTCACACGTGTACCTGATAAACACATGGCGGGGGAGAGAGAGAGATAAAGAAAGCAGTAATTGGAGCACACGCTGGAAACAAATATATAATTTATTTTTAATTGGTAACTAAACATGGCTGTTAATTTTTCTTGACATGCCACATAGCTGCCAATTGCATCCGGGATAATTCAGAAAACATACACTCGTGGGCGTGCGTGCGTGTGAACGTGGGGAGCAGTAGTGCAGTGCTTAGTACGCTGCGCTACAAACCCAGTGACACCAGTTCAATTCCAGGCCATGGTTAACATTCATGGCAAGTGCTACATTAATCAGACTTCAAACACTCCACCAGCCCCCACCCCCCAGGTCAACTCAGCCTTAATATGCACCCGGCGCAATGGTCAGGCAATGTGCTTCATCAAAATAATGGCGCAGTCAGAATTATTGCAGTACGCTATGTGTAAAAGACAGATTCCCCGCGTAGCTTACAAAAGCCAGTTGAGGAAAGTGCAGCTCGCGAGCGCATATGAAGGCCTTGACAGCACACGAGGGGTTGGGTGGACAGCACCACGCCCGGCTGCCTTCCTCTCCTGAGTGGCGATGTTTACACGCCGCACCAGGTACACATTTGAGGCTGAATCGACCTAGGGGCGGCCCGAGGACCAGATAAGACAATCTTCACTGGTTTTGGCAGCCGTGAGCGGGAATCGAACTCGGATCGCTGGGATCGTAGCGCAGCACGCTGACCGCTACACTACCGCTCACACACTGCGTATAAACGAGCGTAAACACAGACACACACGTGCATTATTTTAAGCACACACGCAATTAAAATCAGAAAAATAATTACACTGATTCCTACTTTGATAATGTTAAGTGATGCATCCGAACCTTATTAAAAGTTAATGTTTGTGCATTGATTCTTTGCTTGTGTTTGACAATCCTTATAATGCGGGAGTGTGATTTCTCATTAGTCGAAATGAGTCAGCTCAATAATTAACTGCTGGATTAACCCACCGCACGCTCTGGCAGGGCAGGCCACTCTGCTCCACCCAACCATTCCTTCGGAAACCGAAATGCTGGCCGAGCGGGGTGCGACGGGGTAGGGGTGGGGCAGGAGGTGGGCGTGCGCACGATGAACGTTTCAATTCGGGATCCGTCGCGTCGTTTGTGTGCCCGGTCGCCAGTGCCACGAGGTGAGAGAAGAAATAAAAACTTCCTCTGACGGAGACCGCCCCTGTGCCACGCGCACGAAACTCGGGTCGCAGCGGCTCAATGTCACGCGACGCCACGTTGGGCGAGTCGCGAACTAAACGGGTTAACCACACACACACACACTTCTGTGTGCTCAGTGACAGACCCTCGGTCTATTTTCTATTGCGATACGGCGGCGCACAACACGTGCGAATATTTCTCCCAATCCCCAAGTGTGAAATTCATTACGGAGCGGTCAAATCAACTGACAAACACGTAATTGCATTTCCGCTTAAATATAAAGTACACACTGTTCTTCGCGTGCCAATGCGAGGCCGCGAGAAGAGTTAAGAGAAATACTTTTAACTTAACTAATGAAAGGCATTTCGTAACTCAAACATGACTCGGTACAAACCGTTAATGAAAAAGAAAACCCAGGCTTCCATTCGTAATTGTGTCCTCGCTGAGCACCGTTGCTTTGTTTAAGTACATTTAAAAACTGTTTAAGTTTTCAGACGAGCAATTCTTTCCTTGGATGCATCTTCTTTTTTCTGGGATTGTGCTCAAAGAAAGTTGGGCAGCGGCGGGGGCAGTGGTGGGGGCGGGGGGGGGGGGGGGGGGCTGGGGGATGGAATCGCGGTGGTTGCTGGCAGACGAAGTTTTGTGGGTTTTTCATTTCCAGCCGTGGCCCGGGAGGGACAGGCGTGGAAACTTGGGCAAAAAAAGGTGTCGAAAAGTGCTGGCGGGCGACGGGGGCGGCAGCAGGGGCACAGGGGAGGGGGGGTGCAAGAGGGAGAAGGGAGGGGGGGAGAGTGGGCCGCTGAGAATATTTGCGGAGAAGGGCCGACGTCACGCGCTCGCGCTCGACCGGACGGCGGGCTCAGAGGCAGCTCCGCTCTGTGGCAGAGTAATCTCATTTTAATTAGGTTCATGTGCGCCGAGATGCTGCTAACACGCAAAAGCTTTTAAAACAAGCAGACTTTTTGGGTGAATTCTGCTTGAAAAATGTATTTGTTTCACCACGAATTTCTTTTTCTTCTTCCCCCTTTTTATTCTTTCACGCACCGAAGTAAAAAAAACACGCGACGAAAAATAACTTCCCACTTACCGGGGACAAAAATAATTCTAACAATAACAACGATGACGACGAACGACGACGTGGGTGTAAAACGTGGCCGAGATGGCACGGCGCTTCTCGGAAGCCTTCATCTCTCGCGCCGTTTTGACGCCGGGCGGAGTTAGGAAGAAAAAATACGCGGATGTGGATTTTTCGCGGCGAGAGCGCACGTGGCGTGACTGCCGAGGCGGCCTTGTAATTGTTGATAAAGCCGGAGCCATTCCAAAGCTGACGAGACAGGCAATCCTGCGGCACTAACACAACGCGCAACGGTGCACGGTTGCCATCTGTCCGTATCCATTTGAACAAACAGATCTGCAGCAGCGGTAAGTTAAACGTAAGTGATACGACTCCGAACCAACAAAAAAAACGCAATCGCCATTGATCAGAAGAAAACAATTAACTCGCGAAGGTGCGGTATAGATCTACAAAGTAGCGCTAAAATAATTAGGCGGGTCGGAAACCAAACAGGCCGCGCGTTTAAATGACCAATCGCCAAATAGATAATTCGCGAGCAAAAACAAGACAAACAGCATTAATACAGGGAAGAGGGTCACGCCTGAAATGACTTTGGGCCAGAGGCTAACGAGATTTGCGGTAACGATACGGTCGCCGTCGGAAACAACGCAATCTGCTCTCTCCATTCCGCGCGACGTGTATCCGCGGCGGCTCGTTTATATGCGACGTGTGCTCGCTCACACCCGGGGGGCGGGGGGACGCCTGGGCTTCTCCCTCTGGTTCTTCGCTGACTTCTCATTCAGCCGGCTTCTCGGCTTCAGCCGACACCTCCGCCAAACAACACCGAAGTTTTCTGCAGCTTCTTCTTGTTGTTGTTGCTGTAGTTGTCGTCGTTATTGATGTCACTGCTGTTTTGTTAGTGTTCACTCGCTCTCTCTCTCTCTGTCCGCGTACGCACACAGTTGTTCTTGCCTAATGTGTGACCGGACCCTCGGGAGTCGGGGAAAAAGCCGGAGGGGTGGTTTTTACACAAGTGACACCCAACCGCAGGAAGAGCGGGGGACGGGAGGGGGGAGGGACGGGGGGGAGGGGGCCGTTGCCACCGCTCGTAGATTTATCCCCGCGACGCTCGCGCAAGATTTATCGCGGTCCGCGGACGGTCGCTCCGAGCACGGTGACACCCGGAGCGACTCTGCTCGTTGCAGAATCGGCGTGCGACGAGCGCAGGCGTCCGAGACCGAGAGAGGGGAGTGGAGTCACCGGCTGCACAGACACGGGCGGTCGCGGTGTGCAGTGACGTGTACATCACACACACAACGGTGTGCCACGTCTGACCGCATAGCCGCTTGTAGCTGCATTAAAACCTCATAATATAGCGAATTTTGGGTTCAAAAAGGTCAGCCGCGTGAACGGGGCACGCGCAGAGCGACGGGAACCTGTAGCCGGCGACGTTGTGGGCCATGGTCCTTTATCGCAGCACATGAGTGGGTAGGTTTGAGAACATGTTTGTGAGTAGTATTGTGGTAAAAAAAAAATACCACCATACTAATACGCAGCTCTCTGTCGATCCGCATGCCATACCAGTCACGGGGGTTGCTTGACCATACTTCACCGCGCTGGTCAGCGGGGCGCCAGGACTGGTTTGTGTACGAGTAAGCCGTGGTCGGAAATCGAACCCAGGTTGCCGGACTTACGAGGGCAATGTACGAACCAACAAGGCCCCACACCCCCCTTTCTCCTCCAACCTACCCTACACCCCACCCACCTCTCCCGTACACATACTAGAACACACGTTCGCTCACCAACCAGTAAAGCCCACGGAGTCACGGAGAACCTCTGCTTCATTTCACACCTCGTCAGACGCTAATGATCTGCAGTCAGGTTTCGACTTCACACAAGGCAACGGCTCATTTGACTTAACGGTGGGCACTGCCCCGGTCACTTGTTTAATTTTCTTTCCCTACGCCGCATTTCTCCGATCAGGTTTGAATTTAAAACGGGCTTCCGTAAAAATAAAAAGGTTTACGTTCGTAGATTTAAAACATAGGAAACAAAAGTGTTACCCGTTGGAGCAGCACAGGGGGCGGCGGCAGCGGCGGAGTCGGGCAGCAGCCAGGGTGGCGGCACAATTTAAGCTGGGTTGGAGAGCTTAAAATATACTGCTCCAAGCCTGGTGGTGTTTCATTCAGACGCTGTCTTTCCGACAGACCTGTTCTTCACCTGAGGACGGCTGCTTGCGTTGTTGCCGAAACGTCGTGAGAATTATTTTATTATGTTTTATTTTTATTATTTTATTATTTCCCTTCTACGTGACTTAATCTAAGACTATAGATATTGTTATTTTACCAGGTCGAGGCCCACCGAGCTATATAGCCGCTTCTTCAGAAGCAACCTGCCTATCGCAGGTGGCAGCCCGACGAGGCAGGAGGCTTATCATCACAATCGTGTGAACATTTCTAGCAGCCGAATACTCTAAACGCGTGATGTTGATTTTCTAAATGTAGAGGGGGAAAACCGGAGGGCCCGGAGAAAATTCCACGTGACCGTGGGGAGAGAGAGAGAGAGACACGCCAACTCCAAATATCCAGCAGGAGTCAGGGTCGGAATTTAACTCACAACCTCTTGTATGCCAGGCGAGGGAGGTAAGTTCTCGCTACCGCAGACAGGAATTCACATCTAGGGCGACCCGACGCCTCTCCATACGTTCACCCTGCATTAGACACGTGACTGAAAATGCCCATACGAAAGTGGAAACACAGGAG